CGCCACCCAAATGCCACCAAACCACACAACAGTAATAAATAATAAAAGAAAGAATAATGTGGGAGGAACAGAGAGAAAAAAGGGGTTCAACTACAATATGGTGGATCAGTAATGTAGGATTTGTACTTTTAATGGACACCATATCTTTTGACTCAATTTGTTTTATTCCTTCTTGCAGCTGTTGGGAGATATTTTGCTGGATCGTTCAAATTCGGCTGTGATGACTCGATATGTTAGCTCACGGGATAACTTGAGGATCCTTATGAATCTTCTAAGAGTATGATTCCCTTCTCGGTTCTAGATTCAAATGCCCAGTCTTCTCCCTTCCCTCTCCACCGCCTTGTGTGGGAGGAACTGGGGAAAAAGATAAATGTAGATAAAAAGAGAAGGGAATACATAAAATGAACATTTTTCAGCATAAAAAAGCCCAGAACTTGAGATTCATTTTCAACCAGAAAAAAATCCTATGTCATTTCTTTGAGTATTTATGCTGGTCACACTTGGAAGACCATAAAAAATGTGAAAACAATATTTATCTTGAAATATACTAACGTCTTATTTGTTACATGGTTTATTCTGCCTTCTGCCAGGAGTCGAGCAAGAGTATTCAGATTGAAGCCTTTCATGTATTTAAGGTACAGCCAATACTCTTGACAAAACTTGCACAGGTGATTATTATTGGCTACTGTACATTTTGTTCTGACCCCCACACGAAAATTGCAGCTATTTGCAGCTAATCAGAACAAGCCCCCTGATATTGTTAGCATCCTTGTCACAAATAGAAGCAAACTTCTACGTCTCTTTGCTGATTTCAAAACCGAGAAAGGTACGAAAGTAAAAAGTGCGTTCTGATAGTCTTATATGTGCATATTTAACAATTTTCTAAATCTTGATTTCTCTTGATACAGAGGACGAACAGTTTGAGGCCGATAAAGCCCTGGTTGTCAAAGAAATTGCTGCGCTTGAACCGAAATAATACCCATCAGTTTGTCTTTAATTATTTGTCCAGTGTGATGGCAATGTTGTATGGGTGATTCCAGTGAACGTTTCTTTTTCCATTACATATTTGTGAATTAATAGTTCTTAGCCCCAATGTTGATGCAAAAAGGGATTAAAATGTTCCAGCCCTATTTTCATTTATGAATTTATCAATTCAATTTCTGTAGAATTTGCAATTGAGCTCACATGAAATAATTTCAGGAGAAGAGAAACAAAATGAATATGAGAAAAGAGTGTAAATTGATAATGCCAGACTGCTTAATGGCATGTGTTGGATTTGATGTAGTGCAAAGGCAGGCTTCAGCTTCTTGCAGAAGGAAGCTGCTTTATATTAACTTTTTTTTTTTATTAAAGCTTTTCTAGTCGAATAAAATACTTTTAGATAATTAGAGCCTATTTGGGAGTGATTTTGAGAATTGATTTTCTGACCGTTAGGGAAAAAATGGGGTCCACCTGTGAGAGAAGAAGTCAAATATGACGGCTGGAATAGTAAAATAACGGTCAAAAAATCAATTTTTTTGGTGAAAAAATCGGGCCCAAACAGGCCTTTATTAAAATGTTCGGAAGTAATTTTTTATTTTCAAAAGTTATGGGAAACGATCCCAAAAAAGAATAAACTTTTGTCTAAGGCGAATGTTTCGCCTCAAGCATAATGAGCATATCCTTTATAAATCAAACGTTAGGGATAAAATGACCTATTTTTTCTCATCACATCTTTTCCTTTGCATGCTTGAATCTGGCGTGGGTTGTGGAGGATTAGAAATTTAGGGTATGTTTGATAGTGATTATGAAAATTGATTTTTTGACTGTTAGAAAGAAATATAGGTTTAACCTGTGAATGAAGAAATAAAAAATGACGGTTGGAATATTGAAATAAATGTCAAATAATTAATTTTTTGGGGGTGAAAAATATCTACCAAACAGGGGTCTAGTCATATTTGATTTAGTTAAAAATCAGTAGAATTTAGTAAAAGTTGAGATGAAATATTTTATTTTAAAAATGATAAAAATCATGGTCTAAATGTCTAATTAAAAATGAAATTTGAAAATACGGGCAAAAAACAGGCTTAGAATAAAACCAGCATCTTGGCCTGGCATATTCTGTGAGCCTCCGTCTTTGCTGTAAAAACTGTAATTATCCAATTTCTTGGAAATCTTTATCGACTCTAAATTGTAGTGCCAATTGAAATGCTGACACCGTGAATGAATGCAACTGTTTATGTGTAAATCCGAGCAAATTCAGGGACATTTCAAGTCCAGAAATCATCTATAAATAATTGGCCTCATTCTTTTGTTTTCATCAACCATTACAATTTAATCTCGCTGCAAGAAAAACAGATGGCACAAAAAGGTAGGAATCCATTAATCTCACTTCAATATAAATATATATATATATATATATATA